CTGTTTAAGTTATTAATGGATGTTTTCAGCTGTTTCTTCTCATTTTGAGTTGTGCCCCATCAGCAAGTGAAGGTCCCGAAAAGCCTTGCTCCGTTCACATCACAGTCGACGCCACTGTGTGGAGACAGCTCTTCCTCAGTCGTCTGTTTAACTTCAGTGACCTGAGGAGCTAGCTCTCTACCAGCACTGTATCTGACAGGCTCCTGGGTTTGCTGTGGCTGACCCTTCACAAGTGGCCTGCCTAGTTCTCCTTCCTAGCCTGTCTTGGTCTGGAAGCTCAGCTGACCTCTGCCCTCCGTGGGTAATCGGCTGGTATTTAAAGCACCGGTAACATAGTGTGCAGCATTACAGTACCACACAAGCCACCACGGCACCACAAAGCAACATGTAGGGACACCAAAACCGTAAAGTTGTTGTTGTTATGTGCCGTGGAGTCGGTTCCGACTCATCGCGACCCTCTACAGGGTTTTCAAGGCAGTAAATCTTTACAGGAGCAGAAAGCCTCATCTTTCTCCCTCAGAACAGCTGGTAGTTTCAAACTTCTGACCTTGCGGTTCACAACCCGATTCGTCACCATTGTGCTAAAACCGTAAAGTACCCTTGTTTAATTTGAAACCCTAGTAACACCAGTTACTCCCAGTAACATGCTGTTGTTGTTGTTGTTAGGTGCCATCGAGTTGATGATGACCCATAGCAACCATCTGCACAACAGGATGAACCACGGCCCGGTCCTGGGCCAACCTCCCAGTCGTTGCTGTGTTTGATCTCATAGCTGCTGCTGCCATTGGGGGGTCTTACTCTTTTTGACCGACCTTCTGCTTTACCAAGCATGATGTCTGTCTCCAGAGATTGGTCCCTTCTGATCATATGTCCAAAGTATGACAGCCGAGGTCTCGCCCCCCTGGTTTCTAGGAGCATTCTGGCTACGCTTCCTCCAGGACCGATTTGTTTGCCTTTCTGCTGACCATGGTACTTTTTCATATTCTCTTCAATGCCACAGCTCAGATGCATCCATTCTTCTGTGGTCTTCCTTACTTGGGTCCAACTTTCACGTGCGTTATGAGGCTATTGAGAATACCGTGGCTTAGGTCAGTGCACCTTAATCCTCAGACTGATGCCTTTGCTCTTGAACACTTTAAAGAGGTCCTGTGCAGCAGATTTGCCTAATGCCATAAATATGTCGTTTGATTTCTTGACTGCTGCTTCCGTGAGTGTTGATGGTGGATCAAAAAAAAAAAAAAAATGAGGTCTTTGAGAACTTCAGTCTTCTTTCCATTTATCATGATGCTATTTACTGGTCCAGTGGTGAAGATCTTTGCTTTCTTTACATTGAGGTGCAGCCCATACTGAAGGCTGTGCTCTTTGATCTTCATCAGTATTTTAAGTTCTGTTTACTTTCAGCAAGCAAGGTTGTGTCATCTGCATATCGCGGGTTGGTAATGAGCCTTCCTCTGACCTTGATGCCATGCTTCTTGTATTCCTTGTTCAGTATACACATGGAGTAAGTGTACTGGAAGGGTCCAACTCTGGCACACACCTTTCTTAATTTTAAACCATTTGATGTTCCCTGGTTCTGCTCAGTTAACTGCCTTTGGTCTATATACAGGTTCCTCATGAGCACAAGCAAGTGTTCTCCACAGTGTTGTCATAGCTTGTTATATCCACACAATTGAAAGCCTTTGCGGAGTCAGTAATGTACAAGTAAACATCTTTCTGGTATTCTCTGCTTTCAACCAAGATCCATCTGACCTCAGCCATAATATCCGTCATCCCACGTCCTTGACTGAATACTGCTTGCACGTCTAGCAGTTCCCTGTCAGTGTAATGTTGCGGCTGTATTTGAATTAGCTGTAGCAAAATTTTACTTGTCTGTAATATTAATGACACCGCCTAATGATTTCTGCATTTCCTTGGGTCACCGCTGTTGGGAATGGGCACAAATATGGATCTCTACCAATCAGTTGTCATCTCGGTTTTCTGGCAGAGATGAGTGAGTGCCTCCAGTACTGCATCAGTTTGTTGCAAGATTTCAGTCTGTATTCCATCAACTGCCGGTACCTTGTTCTTTGCCAATGCCTTCAATGCACCGTGGACTTCTTCCTTCAGTGCTGTTGGCTCTTGATCATGTGCTACCTCTTGAAATGGGTGAACATTGTCCATTTCTTTTTGGTACAGTGACTCTTTTGAAGCTTTCTGCATCCTTCAGGATTTTGCACATAGAATCCTTCAATATTTCAACTCAAGACTTGTCAGCTTGTGAAATGCTGAGCATGTTCTTCCTTTTGGTTTTTTAACTCCAGATCTTTGACTATTTCGTTATATTTGACTTTGTCTTCTCGAGCTAACCTATTCTGCTTTCTATTCAGCTCTTTTACCGCCTCATTTCTTCCATTTGTTTTAGAATCTCTACACTGGAGAGTAAGTTTCTAAGTCTCTTCTGACATCCATTATGGTCTATTCCTTTTTCTGGTCTTCTTAATGACTTTTTGCTTTCTTCCTGTATGATGTTCTTGATGTCACCCCACAACTCTTCTTGTCTTGGGTCTTTAGTGTCTAATTCATCAAATCTGTTCTTGAGATGATCTCTAAATTCAGATGGGATATATTCAAGGTCATATTTTAGCTCTCGTGGACTTGTTTTCATTTTCTTCGTCTTCTGCCTGAACTTGCGTATGAACAATTGATGGCCTATACCACAGTCTGCCCTGACCTTGTTTTGGGATGATATGGAGCTTTTCTACCATCTCTTTCCATAGATATTGTTAATTTGATTTCCGTGTGTTCCGTCTGGTGAGGTCCATATTGTTTAAAAAAAGGTATTTACAATGATAAAGTCATTGGTCTTGCAAGTTCTATTATGTGACCTCTAGCATTGTTTCTGTCACCAAGGTATTTTTCAACAATTGATCCTTCCTTATTGTTTCCAACCTTTGCATTCCAATCACCAATAATTATCAGTACCTCTTGATTGCATATTTGATCAGTTTTCGACGGATGAAGTTGATAGAGTTCTCCAGTTTCTTCGTTACTGGCTTTAGTGGTTGGTGTATAAATTTGAATAATAGTGGTATTAACTGGCCTTCCTTTTTGTTGTTGTTAGTAAGTGTGGTCAAGTCAGTTCTTACTCACAGCGACTCTGTAGAGGGTTTCCAAGCTTGAATTGCCAACCTTCTGGTTCAAACTGACCTTGCAGTCCGGTACATTTACCTGCAGCGCCACACCAGGACTCCTTGTAGGCATATGGATATTATACTATCACAGACAGTGTTGTTCTTCAAGATTGATCTTGAAATGTTCTTTTTGATGATGAATGTAATGCCATTCCTCTTCAATTTGTCCTTCCTGGCATAGTAAACCCTGTGTTTGTCCAGTTCACGATGTTCAGTACCAGCCCATTTTAGCTCCCTAATACCTAGGATATCAATGTTTATGCATTCCATTTCATTTTTGACAATTTCCAGTTTTCCTAGATTCGTACGTCACACATTCCATGCTCTGATTATTAGTGGGTGTTTACAGTTATTTCTCTTCCTTTTGAGTCGTGTCCCATTAGCAAAGGAAGGTCCTGAGGGCTTTACTCCATTCATGTCATCACAGTCAACTCTCCTTTGAGGAGGCAGCTCTTGCCCAATCGCGGTTTAGTGACTTTCAACGTGAGGGACTCATTTTCTGGCGCTCTAGCTGACAGCGCCCCACTCCTGTTCCTAAGGTTTTCAGTGACTAAATATTCAGAAGTCGTCTGTCTCTCCTTCTCCCTAGTCTGTCTTAGTTTGGAGGCTCAGCTGAAACCTGTCCACCGTGGGTGACCCTGATGGCATTTAAAAATTTGGTGACATAGTTTCTAGAATCACAGCAGGCAAGCCACCACAGTATGGCAAACTGACAGACAGATGGTGGCGAGCAACACCAGTGTCCCGGATATTGCATGGGCTGTTCTTATACCAAGAGGTGCTTCATTGTTTACCAGAAACTTAGGGTTACCTGGGTATCCTGTATTTACCTGGGCAACTTTATTTTCCTGTGCCCACTTGCATGTGGGTGGGGCAGGGTCTGCCCCTCGTAGGAGAGCCCCAGGAAGGTTCTTAGTGACTGGCCAGGGTCCAATGCCAACCTCTGGGCAAATCACATTCTAGAGTCTACCTCTGTAAAAGAGGAGCCATTGCTGGAAGGCTTTGATTGGCTGGTTTGGTTCCCATGTCCATTCTTGGACCAATCATGTCTTAGGACCTATAGCAAATCCTCAAGAAGCCTCTGATTGGCTGACTGATACAGATGGGAACTGGGTGTCCCTGATGAGTCATTCCCACTTAGAGCCACATGACTTTAACCTGCTGAATCAGGCCTTGAAGGCTGTCTGCTGAGAAAGGACAGCCTGGACCCCCTGTCAGCACACATGGATGTGTTGTTAGTGATGGGTCCGCCCTCCCCCCACCTCAGCTCCCACATCCGAGAGGTCCCTGAGGCCCCACTGAGCCCACATTCCTAGTCTACGCATTCACCTCCCATCTGCCCTGGTCCAGGGGCTGTTTCACACCCTGGGCCTCTTTAGCTCCAGGGTGGGACCGTTTTCTCTGGGCTATTACGGGTGGTGAGCAGGATGTGGGGTCTGAATCCTGCTCTGAAATATTCCAATGCATGGCATAGTCTCCCTCCCTCAAATGGGCCAGGAATGGGGAAGTGACTTGGTTCTGACTGAGGAGATGCTTGGATGACCAGGGCTGTAGCGTGGCTTCCAGAATCTTCCACGGACATCCCCTGATGAGAGTGAATGCAGGGAGGTAGCCTGGAGGCCACTGGCCTTGGTGCTGGTGTGCTCCCTGTGGTTTCTCCGACCTAAATTTTGATAAATTAATTTTGTAGCCAAGGCGGAGCTGACAGGGACACTGCGACCACTCGGGGTTCTCAGGCTCTCAGCGCTCTCCCTCAGTTGCTGGACACAGATGGGCAATCCTTCTCCGCCCTGTCCCTGCCTGCCTGACTGTCGCCTTTCTGTCTTTCAGAACGCCATGCTGCATTGCCCCTGGTACGTGGCGCCAGCGTCCTATCGGGCTTTCTCCGGAGACAGCCAGTAAGTGCCCCCTGTACCGCTGTGCGCACCTTGGGGTCCAGTCACTGGGGCACTGTGCTGCTGATACCCAGACACAGACATGACGACAAACGGACCCTCCCCGATCCTGCTAGGAGGCCTGCTGGCTCCTCAGTGGGCTCCTCCGTGCCTAGAGAGTAGGACGACGGGGCAGGCTTTGTGGGTAGAGGGGCCCAGGGTTCAGGGATAGGGGAGCAAAATCCTTAAGGTGAAGAGGGCCCAAGGAAGAGGACAGGCATGTTGGTAAGTCTGTCGGAGATGTGGGGAGCCTGCTTTGTGGGGCTGCTGAGGGCAGCAGGGGCAGGAAGGGTGAGGTCCGAGGACAGAGCTACCACTCGGGAAAGATGGGTCAGCTGTAACTGGGAGGTTTTGCACATCCCTGGAGTTGAGTGAGGAGAAGAGAGGGTCCCACGTGGTGCCTGCATCGGGCCTTCCATCACTCCTGCTGCTGCCCCTGACACTAGGCATGTCTGTAAGCAGAGGAGATGCAGGAAGGGCAGGGCGGGCAGTGACCTAGGAGCCATTGGCTCTGGGTTCTCATTCTTCTTGCTATTGACGTGACACTCCAGGGCCTAGGCAGACTTTATTCCTCAGGCTGGAGAGAGGCAGCCAGGGGGGCGCTGTTCTCTACCTGCCACCCAGAGCCCCCTTTCACTGCAGGTCCCAGCCTCAGAAACCTTCAGCCAGGGAGGGAGGGGGTATCTCATGGTCTGTGCAGTCCCACTGGCCGAGTGACTGGGCTACAGTGTGGTCAGCAAGGTCTGGTGGACTTCTCCAGAGATCACTTCAGGTCAGGTTCTGGAAGCCGGGTGAATGGTCACGTCCATGGCCTTGTGGCCCCAGCTGGCTCCCAGCAGACACTGGTAAAGCTGGGTCATGGCTGAGGAGTGTCCATATGCTGCTGAGCGAGACCCCACCCACCTGTCCCTAGTCACCTCCTTCTCATTTCTCCCTCCAGCCAGTTTGGGACCTCCACCTCCTACCTGTACACGGCCATGGGCGGTCAGCCGTGCCCAGACACCAGCTACGTCTCTGCGGTCCCTACCTACGGCCCCAGCTTCCTACCAAAGAGCAGTGACTTTCCTCAGGTAGGGACCCCAGGGAGCGCTGTTCTGAGGAGGAGGGGGTCATTCACAGGCAGAGTACCAGTAAGATGCTGAGGTGGGGGCCTCCATGTATTACCCATGCCCGCTGCTTCAAGCTCCACCCACAGCCCCACCTCCCCATCAACATGTGACCCCGCCCACAGGTACAAGACCACACCCCCAGCCACACACCCCAGTCCCAGATCTGCCTATGGCCTCTGCCTGCCCTCCATAAGGAGGGAAGTTTAGGGTCTTTCCCAGGTTCTCTGGTCCCTAGCGTGGCGGGGACTTCCTCATACATGTGACCATGTGTCTTCAGGCAGCTCTGTAAATAGGTGAATTCTCTGCATGGGAGGGCTGGGTCAGCAATTACCAGGCCAGTTGGGACGAGATTTCCGGGAGGACAAGTGGAGCCACTAACGTGTGCAGGTGCTGACCCCACCTGGCTCTCCTCTAAACCCGCGTCTCCCTCCCTGATGCTCAGAGTCCAGCTCTGATGATGAACCATCGGATCGGACAGCATCCTAGAGTGTCCTTGGTTGTCAGTGTGATTCCCATTCAGGGTAAACCCTACACCAGAGAAGAGTTACTACAGAATCAGTTCGTAGCTATGACCTCTAGGGAAGCTCATCGCCAGGTCTTGCTTCTGCAGCACTGCTGAGTGGATTTGAGCTGCCAGCTCGTAGGGTCCTTGGCAAGAGCAGATCATTTGGCTCCCAGAATGATGGGCCGCAAGCCCTCGCCCTGGTGCCTAGGAATGAGACCTGGTTTGGAATGAAGACTTTACAAGTGTTCTCAGGTCAGCATGAGGTCATTACTGGAGCAGGATAGGCCAGAGACTGAAGAGGGGTCATCCCAAGGGGACTGAGGCAGAGATGGGAGCTGCAAGGACCCTGCCCTGGAGCCTAGGGAGGGGTGCGGTCCCATGTGGCACTGTATCATAGCAACCACAGGACTCCAGTGTGTCATCAGTTGGCCTGTGCGGACGACCCTGTGCCCCCCATACTGCATTTCCTCAAGGCAGCCCTCTCAGAGCCCAGCTTTGCACAGGAGTGGCTGTGGATGGACCATCATCAGTAACCCTCCTTGTCACCCCTGCCACAGGCCCCATGAGAGCTGAAGGGTCCCCACCATGTGGCCTTCTGTCCCCAGGTCTTCCCTTGGAGCCATGCCTTCCTGGCTGGATAGAGACGTCTGTCAGGGTCTAACTGGGGGTCCCGCCTCATCTCCATCTCTGAGAAAGGAGGCTTGTGGAATGGCTTGGGCCTCTACCCATCCCCCACAGAGGGCCGTCTCCTTGTCATCCGTGTATCTCCGTCCATGTGTCTGTTTCTGTTTGTCTGGCCTTGTATCTGCATCTTATCTCTCTCTCTGTCTTTCTTTGTGTCTCTGTCCATGTGTCTGTCTTGTGTCTGACTCTGTGTGTCTGTGTCTCCTCTGTCCCTGTGTGTCTGTCCTTTCTGGCCACCCCAGGGCTGGACCCCTCATGGGGCTAAGAGGAGCTGTGGTAGGATAGAGGGGAGGGAACACACACACTCACACACATTGTTCTGTTTGTGTTTGAGACCCTGAGCAGCCTAGGTCTCGGGGCCCCATTGTGGGCTCAACCCTGCCCACCTGCTATGGCCATGCACACAGTGGCCTAGAAGGGACACAGGAGTAGAGGTCAGCTGGGCATCCTGGCTGCTCTCCCACTGTGCAGACAGGGAGACCGAAGCACTGCAGGAGCCCTGTGCCCAACAGGAGGGACAGAACTCTCCTGACGGGTCGGAGGTCAGCAGACCCAGTGGGAGGAGTCTCCAGGGATGGGTGGATGGAGGTGCCTTTTCCCGCACAGTCCCCTCCTCCCTTGGTCTTGCACTAATGTATTCAGCTACCGCCTTCCAGGCCTTGCCAAGAATTGATGCGGTTTCTCGAGCCAGGGTCCCACGGGGCCGCTCGCTCCCTGCCCGCTCTTGTCAGAACCTTGCTTGTCAGTACATGTCTGGCGATGCTTAGCCGGCCATTCCCGCTCATGAGTCCAACCAACACCCCCCAGTGCCTGTGTCCCTTTCCACCCAGGTTCCCCCTGGACCCACAGGGTCTTCTCCTGACAGAGTGGAGGAGGGGCCGGAGCCTCCTGTGGGTCACGCTGTAGGATCTGAGCACCCCTGCCTACTGGCTCCCTAGAGCCTTCTCCCGTTTGGGGACAGGGTCACTGTCCAGATGACTTGGCTTGGTTACGTCCTTCCAGCACAGTGATGACCCAAAGACATCCTGGTTCTAGGAGCTTGGTGCCTGACAAGGTCGGGGGCCCTGAGGCGGGTAACGGGCAGGCTGTTGAGATGGGAGATGATTGGACCTATAGGATCACAGGCTCCTTCTCTGAGGGAAGTGGGAGGGCAGAGTCCCAGAGAGACTGCAGGATGTTCTGAGGCAGGCTCTGAAGATTCAGGAAGGGGACACGGGCCAAGGACTGTGGGGTCTCTAGATGCTGGAAGTGGCCAGAGGCAGTGTTCCCTGGAGTCTCCTGAAGCCACTGAGACCTGCTGACCCATTTAAAGCCTAAAGCTTGTGTTCATACAGTGGAAGCTTCTGTAGCTTGGGCAGCCTTCCTGTGGCCCCAGCCCATGGAGCATTCTGGAAGTGTTCCTATTGGTTGTAAATCAGGGATCAGAACTGGGTTAGGAAGAGAGTGACTGTAAACCTGAAGATTTAACAGTTTGATGTGGTACCTCAGCTTGACCCTGAGTGAGTTTCCCAGCAGCCAAAGCAAAAAGAGAAAGCAGATGAGCATTGTCACCATGTTGCCTTCAGGGAACAGTCAAACCACTTGGTGCCGGCTCCTTTGTTCTCACCTCACTGGTGGGGACCCCAAGCTGCCTTTTACTGTGTTAGAGCCCTGAGCCCATGGAGACCACTGCTGGTCAGGGCCACACTAGTTCCTTTTGGCAGACTTCCCAACAGGGGTCTCAGAGCCCTGCTCTTAACTTTGGGGGGGTCACTGAGTTCATTGAACAGAGACCCTGAATGAATCACTGTCCCCAGAAGCTGGGAGCGCAGGGAGGCACAGGCCCATGTAGGGGCCCCTGATGGAGCAGGTCCTGGCCCTGAGGGCATCTCTGGACACACACACACACCCCGCCCCCCATTTCTCCTCCTGAAGGTGGGGCTGCTCCTCTGCTGCCCACCAGCCTTCTGGGAAGTGGGATGAGATCACGGCTTGGGAAAGTGCTTGCTGCTCCCCACACACAGTGCGCTGAGTGGATGGCAGGGATCAGGGGGTCGGCCCGCCCTCCACCGCCCTGCTCAGCAGTTACCATCAAAGAGACTTAGAGAGGAGAGAAGGCTGTTGTTACAGGAAGCCCTCTGCCCCTGGCCGGCTGCTGGACAGGCTGCCCTCATGGCCCTCCCCCCAGCACCTCCAGCCTCTGCCCTGAGGTACCTTGTGGTGTCTCATCACCAGAAGGAACCCCACCCGCCACCGGGCTGTAAAGCTGGGTGAGAGGTCACTCCATCAGTGTGAACAGAGGCCCCATCAGAGGTGGACGAAGAATGAGCGAGACTGGCCTCTGAGCCAGAGGGTCAGGGTGCCACACCATGCCCGAGCTGCTGCCTCCTTACGGACACCCAGCCTCGTCAGCCTGGGGCTGGGAGAGTCCCATCAGCGAAGCCATGGGAGCACGTGAGGATGGCCGTGGCGGCCTGGGGACACAGGCCATGTCCACCCACAACTGCCTCTGGGCTCCCGAGGCCCAACATCTCACCTCCAGCCTTGACGCTCTCTGCTCCTTTCCTCCTGGTTTCCAGAATTGCCTCCTCCCCGCAAGCCTCATCTCCCTGGGCATCCCAGCCCCTGTTCCCACAAGCTGGCTGAACCCTGTAGAATAGAGGGTCTCACAGGGGCATGGCAGGAATGTGGGACCCCAGAAAGCTTCCCAAGCCCACATGACACTCTTCACTGAAGAACCCACCTCGGGCTTAAAGTCCTTCCCCAACCTTAACCCCAGCCCATACTCAGAACATTTCACGTTTCCTTGAAACTGCTGCCTCCAACCTGCTCCATCAACTCATCTACTGCCATATAAAGGTTAACCCCAAGGGGCTTAGAATGTGGCAGTGAGACACAGTCCGTGCTGTTTCCTCTCCTGAGCGTCCGTTCTTGTGGGTTCATCTTCACGGTCCCGTTTCCTGGTCGGTCCATTTTTAGAAAGTACTGTCGTTGAAAGGCTACGAGGCAAGAGGACTTAACACCGAGTAGTCGATGGTCTCACTCCCAGAAATCTCCTTTCTGTGCATCTGCCTGTCCTAGGGATTGCCTGTTAGTGAGGTCATACCATCAATATCTGGCCTTTTGTGTCTGTTTCCTTTAGCGTAATTCTTTTTAAACTTTTTACTGTGGTTTGGGTAGAAGTTTGCAGAGCAAATCCATTTTCCTTTCCACACTTCGTACACACCTTGATTCGTGACATTGATTGCCATCTGCACAACGCAGCCACACTTCTTCCCACTTCCTCCCTGGGCAGATTGCTGCCTTTTCAGTTCCTGTAGCTGGTTGGTTCTAAGGAGTGCACACCGAGTTAGGGTTATCACTTAGCTGGAGTCCTGGTGTGGCGCTGTGGGTTAATGTGCTGGATTGCAAGGTCCGTTTGAACCACAAGGTAGACGGTTCAAGCTCACCAGCCGCTCCACGGAAACCCTATAAAAGGGTCACTGTGAGTTGGAGCTGACTTAATGACAATATCACTTAGCTGAAAGGTGAGCCATGGGGTTGAGTTCGGTTCCTAGTTTGATGAGTGAGGACTATATTCTCGGGTTCCACCAGTCTCAGACCAGGATAGCTAGTCTTTTTTTTTCTTCTTCCTTTTTGTCTCTATTGTATGTTTTTCTCCCACTTTCTCCATGACCTCCTTATGGGGTCCCAGTCAGCAGTGGTAGCTGGGCACCATCTAGCTTTTCAGTGTTGTGGAGTTTTTAAAGGTTCATCCATGTCTCTATCACTGAACAAGCTGTCTTGTGTGGAT